CTCTTGGTGCCCCTCTCCCGCAGTCCCGTTGGCTCCGCTCAGTCCCGCCGCCTCCYTGCCTTCCTCCTCSTCCTTCTCCTCCTCCTCCTCGTCCTTCCTTCCTTCCGCGCCTCCCTGCCTTCCTCCTCGTCCTTCTCCTCCTCCTCCTCGTCCCCCCTGGCTGTCCCTGTGTCCCGGCCCGGCCCGGGCAGGTGCCCGAGGAGCTGCCCCTCCCGGCGGGACTGCGCCAGCTCCTTGGCGCAGCACACGGGCGTGTGGGTCTCGTAGGTGCTGTGGAAGCTGTTATAGTCCACCTCGTAGAAATCCTTCTCCAGGGTGAGCACGGGGGTGAAGCGGTGACCCCACAGCACCTCGGTGTCCATATAGGAGCTGCGAGCCTGGCAGGTCATCCCTGCGTGGAGAGAGAGGGATGTTAGAGGCAAAGCTCCCTTACGTGCTCACCCAACCACGCCTGGCACTTAAAAGCACTTTCGTGTCGTTTCCGTACCTGATTGCTCTGGGACACACAAAAGTCTTCACTTAACGGGACTCACAAAAGCCGCTATCGTGAGTAAGCTGAGCACCCAAAGGGAAAGAAATGGATTCCTGCGCATCTTCCGCCTCTAAGCCTCCCGAACTTCGTGCTCAARGCTTTGCGGACTGGCACCTCTAAGCAGCTTCTCTCTGCCTCATCCTGCTCTGCTGAGGTGTTGCTTGTGTGGCTGACACCAACAGCTCCCGATGGATCCTGCTGAACACCCACCAGCCCTGCCACTGCTGCCCAGCCCGACCCACACTGCCCTGAGCACCGGGAGCCACTGCCCTGCCCTCCGCTGGGGCTGGTCCCATCCCTGCTCCTCGGCAGCAGTGCCACAATCCCTCCTGCAGCAGTGCCACAGTTCCCTGTACAACAGTGCCACAATTCCCTGCACAGCAGTGCCACAATTCCCTGTACAGCAGTGCCACAATCCCTGTGCCAGAGTGCCACTCTTCCCTGTACAGCAGTGTCACCATCCCCTGAGCAGCAGTGCCACCATTTCCTATACCCCAGTGCCACCATCCCCTGTGCCCAAGTGCCACCACTCCCCTGCAGCAGTGCCACCATTCCCTGTGCCAGAGTGCCACAATTCCCTTCAGGAGTGCCACGATTTCCTGTACAGCAGTGCCACCATTCCCCTGCAGCAGTGCCACCATCCCCTGAGTAGCAGTGCCACCATCCCCTGAGCAGCAGTGCCACCATTCCCTGTGCCAGAGGGCCACCATCCCCTGAGCAGCAGTGCCACCATTCCCTGTGCCAGAGGGCCACCATCCCCTGAGCAGCAGTGCCACCATTCCCCTGCCCCAGTGCCACCATTCCCCTGAGCAGCAGTGCCACCATTCCCTGTGCCCCAGTGCCACCATTCCCCTGCAGCAGTGCCACCATTCCCTGTGCCCCAGTGCCACCATTCCCCTGCAGCAGTGCCACCATTCCTGGTGCACACAGCTGCACACACCCCGATGTATATCCCAAAAGGTGAGAGGTTCCCAACCAAACTGGCTTTAAATTCCCTTGGAGGGCTCAATCCCTTTTATTGATGGATTGTGGATCGAATGAGCAGTGGCCAGCATGGAACTGATGCTTGTGTGCTGCTTCTCAGTCCCAAGGATCAGAGCTTATTTCCTTCAAAAAAGTCTAAAGACAAGCTTTGCAGAGCAGGGATAAGAACACCTGTGAGCGAAACCTCCTGGAATCACCTGGCAATATCAAGGCTGACCTCTCTTCCAAACACTTGGCTGATGTTTGTCCTAATTATGTTTTGATTTTGGAATTAATTTCCAGTGAAAACCTGACCTCACAAAGCTGTACCACTGTTCTCTTGAGGAGGGTGAGGGATTGGTTTGACTGGAATACATTCAAAAWACATTCAAAACCTGCACTTGATCCATCTTCTGCCAACACTTCCCAGTCTAATTTCTGCAGCCCAGAGCACATGGACAGAAATCTAAAGTAATGCATAGGGGGAAAAAATCTCAATGTCAGATGTCAGATGCTTCAGGAAAGAATATATCCCATATTCCACTATGTGAGTTCATAAATTACTGAAATCTCAGAGTAATCAGAAAATCCTTTCCTTTAAAAAAAAAAAAAAACACCTTCATGAAAAGAGGAATATTTTGTTCTCATAATTGCTCCAGACCATTAAAAGACACCCACACAGGCAAGAGCTCTGCAAAGCTGAAAGTCTCTTACTGCTTTCTGTGGTTTAAAGCTACCAGGACAGGAGTATTTTGTTCCTTGAAAGGGGAAAAGAGGGATGGTGACACACACAATGCTGAGACATCTGCAGCTCTGTAGCACAGACTGAAAAAAACAATTTTTCCCGTCAAGAAGATCTGCAGGAGTGTTTGCTTCTGGGCAGGAACAACAAGTACAGCGTTAGTCACAGTGTTCCAGCATGCCTGCTTCCTGGGCTGGAAGGAACTGGGAAGTGCAGAGGCTGCCATGGAAAACACAGCCAGGGAATGAAAAACCTCCCCGAGTGCTGTTGCCTGAGTGAGGAGCTCTGTGCCAGTTCAGGGTCGTTCCAGGAAACTCTCAGCTTTGGGTGCAGAACTGAAGGACAGCGTGAGGCCATTCCTGCCTCGGGGGGCTCCTCAATGGGCAGCAGCAGCATTCCTGGGGTGGAGGGGTCAGCCCTCCTGYCCTGGCCAGCCCCACACTCCCTGGAACACAGGGAGAAATGCTGATTCCCCAGTCCTGGCACAGGATCCCCTGGGGAGGTGTGTCCCTGGTCATACACTGACCCCTGGGCATGGGGGTCTATTCCTGGTGTTTGGGGTGGCAGGGCTGCAGGGCTGATCCCATTTCCTGGTGCTCCCTCATGCCAGGAGGCTGGAAACCACAGCTGGGTAAAATAAACCAGTCCTTTTCCCTTCAGACAAAATCCCAAAGGCCTCCAAGAGCCTCCTGCAGCAGCAGCGAGGAAGGCAGGAGAGGAGACCCCACAGACTCCAGGGTCACTCCTGTGCATGACCCCCCTGATTCTCATCCTGCTTTGTCAAGGCTGTGTCAAGGTCTTGTGCATGAGTCCCCCAGTCCTTGTGCAATGTGGGGCCTGGGGGTCCCTAAGGGAACTCCTGCCTTGTAACCCAGGCCTGAAACAGCTCTGAAAGGAATGAGAGGGATGTGTCTTTGCAAAGAAACTGTGGGGTCTGCTGGGAGATAGAGCCAGGTACTGACAGGTGAGAGGAGCAATAGGAGGAACCATAAATTCCAGAGGAATTCCACCCATTGACACAGACTGAGTATCAGGTACTGACCCAAGGCAGGGCTAAATCCYTGGGCTGAGAGAAAAAGAACAGAGACACAAAGAATAAAAAAAGGGGGGATGCACATTAGATGGGGTCTGTGTTAGGGGTTTGGGGCAGTCTGTACCTCTCAAGTACCTCAGCAGTGGGGAAAGAGAGAGGGAAAGGTGGCCGGGAAATTGGGAGAAAAGAGGCTGCCTCTTCTAACAATTTGAGAGACCTGATGGAAATGCTCCATGGCCTCTCCCTTTATTCGAATGAAGTCACAGGACTCCTCTGTCTCCTTTTCGGACACAAACCTTTGGTGTTTGTGAATTAATTCTCCTAACAGCTCCTTCCCTGCAGGAGCACCTGAGTGAACTTGAGCTCTCAGGACACCTTCCCAGCCCTGCTTTGAGGATTCCATTAGKGCAGGAACAATGGAAAGCTTTCAACAACCAAACCCTGCTGCTGCTGGCTTCCTGCAGGAGCTGCTTCTGTAACCCCGGGGGACACTGAGCCAGCACAATAAGACAACTTGTAATTGCTCCATAATCCCATTCAAATATTCCTTTTTAGCACATGTGCAGTGGTGTTTAATTGCGTGGGGACACACTGCTTGGCAACTCCCACATCACCCAGTAAACAACACCATTGTCTCTGCTTCAAATTCCATTAAGTGCCTGCTTTGCAGGCTGCCCTGTGCTCTCCAGCCTGGTTAATTAATGCATCTGTAATGTCCCTAGCTAATTATTGCCTCTGTGCCTGTGAAAAGATGACAGAAGAGGTGTGGAAACAATAAACCTTATTTTTATTAAGAGCACATGGACTCAGCCGCTTGCTGCTGGAACACAACGTGCGCCCCATGCTCGGGGCTCACCCTACAGAGGGGCACAGCAACCCCCAGACTCAGAGCTCTGTGTATCCCTGGAAAAATCACCTGTTAATTGCAGGATTCTTGTGTATCTGACTCCATGGGATGTCTCGGGTATAGGGAATCATTTGCTCCCATCCACCAAGYAGAATCAGAATTCAGAATAYCCTGAAKGGGAAGGRAGCCACAAAGATCACCRAGCCCAACTCCTGGCTGCAAACAGACCCAGATCTGGGTGCCACAGCAGCTTTGCCATCCCTGCTGTTCCACATCACTTGTGCAGCCCTAAAGCACTGACACCGGGGAGAACAAGGACTCAAGGGAGATTTCCAACTCTCCAAATTGCTTGCAGAATTAACCATGGTACATATGGCCCTAATAGAGGCTGTTAATCCTTTTCTTAAAGAAGATATAACTACACATTTTGTATTTAAATGGTGCAGATATAGAGAAGTGGCATTTGGGGGTTTCATTTAAATAAACTTCATGCCAAAACAAATAGAGAGTCCCAGAATGGTTTGAGTTGGAAGGGCGTTAAAGAATATTAAACATTGACATCTTCCACTGTCCCAGGGTGCTCCAAGCCCCAATGTCCAGCCTGGCCTTGGACACTCCAGGGATCCAGGGGCAGCCACAGCTTCTCTGGGCACCCTGTGCCAGGGCCTGCCCACCCTCACAGGGAAAAATTCCTTCCCAATATCCCATCCATCCCTGCCCTGTGGCAGTGTGACCCCATTCCCTGTGTCCTGTCCCTCCATCCCTTGTCCCCAGTCCCTCTCCAGATCTTCTGGAAACTCTTTAGGCAATGGAAGGGGCTCTGAGCTCTCCCTGGAGCTTTCTTTTCTGAACAATCTGAACAATCTCAGATGTCTCCTCATAGGAGAGCTGCTCCATCCCATCATCTTCATTTTCCTTTGTTCAGTCCAAGTGGATGTACTTGAAG